GAGGGTCCCATCCAGGTGCAGCTGGCACAGGTAGCGTCGCTTGGGGGGCAGGTCCCGGGCCTCGTACACCCACAGGCTCAGCGTGTTCTCCATCCGCTCACAGTTGTCCTGGGAGGCAGGATGGGCATAAGCAGCAGGGCCCAGCATTGATGGGACCAGCCCCCCTCTGGCTCTGGTGGATGATGGCTGAGGGTTGGGGGGCCCAGAGAGGGAGACATGGGGGTCTCTGTGGGATGGATTAAGGAGCTGGCGGGGGACATTGGGGGCACTGAGGCAGGAGAGCATGGCAGGACTAAGGGAGACACTGACAGGTTGGGAGTGCGGGTAAGTCTGGAGGGGCCCTAAGGGGCAGGGGGTATGTGGGGATGGGACTGGGCATCCCAGGTGAGGGCAGGTCTGGGGTTTGGGGGCAGAAAGGACCCTGGCAAGGGGAGTGTGGGTTGTGGTGTGAAGAGGTGGGAAGAGGGGTCCCAGGTGAGGGGTGGGGTGGGAGTGGGGTTCCCAGATGACAGAACGTAGGGTGGGCCTGGGGGTCCCAGGCCAGGGTCTTACCTTGTTGGGCTGCACGGTCCGGCGCAGGTTCTCTATCCATCGGTCCCGCTCGGCCACAGATGTGCACCCGAAGCAGCGGCTGCCCTCGGCATTGATGATCTGGGGAGTGGGGGTGGTAGGTGCCAGGGAGGTGTGATGCCCCCAACCAAAGTGCCCAGGAGGAATATCTGGCACCGAGGCCCGTAGAATAACTGCCTAGGGCAGTGGTTCTCAACCTTTTTTGTACCAGGACCCATTTGTAAATATTGATGGCCAGTGAGTTTCCCTCTTGAGCCGCTGCCCCCCACCCGCAGGCCCCAGCCCCGTAGTGTGTGGGGGAAGGTGTGTGGGGCTAGGGGCCCCCAAGTAGCCCCTTGCAAGCTGAAAATCTGCCAGCCTGCAAAGAAAAAGCCATGGTTTCCCACATTTTTCTCCTTTAGAGGAGAATCCATTTTTAAAGTTTGTTCATGACCCTTCCATATACTCGTGACTCACTTTTGGGTCATGACCCATGGGTTGAGAAATACTGGTCTAGGGGAACTGGGCTTGTCTTGCATTCTCAAGCAGGGCCAAGTAGATGCCCAGGGTGGATGGTGGTGTCCAATACCAGAGGCTGGTGCTAAGTACTGAGGTCCTGCTCTCCTGCTGAGCTGACATCCCCATCTTTGGCCCACAGGGTCAGATGCCCTTTAGAGCAGGGAGTCCTGGGTGCTGTCACCCCCTGGGTCCCTACGGGTATTACCTGGAAGCAGAACTTCTCGCCCAGGAGGCTGCCGTGTAATGGGCGAATAACCACGTCCTCGCCACTCAGGTCCAGCTCGGCCGCGGTGGGCGGGGGCAACAGGGACTCATGGGAGCCATGCCGGCTCGGCAGCCTGCTGGGAGAGGGGCCAGTCACACAGGGAGGGCTGGTGGGTGGGAGGGGGAGAGGTGGGAGGCCTGCAGCTGCTGGAGAAACCCACTGTGCCCAGCACCACGCTCAGAGCTCCACCTCTGCCCCTTTGCCGAGCCACCCCCACAGGCCAACCCCTTACTGGGAAGAGGGCAGCCTGGCCCAGGGCAGGGGCATCTGGCTGCTGGGGGGTTATCCCACACCCTACCCCCAGAGGGTGCTCTTCTGTATGCCTGTGCAGTGCCCATCACCACAGCCTCTGAGCAGCCACGGGCCTCTCACCACAGCAGGCTGCCCCCAGGGCACTGCCTCCTTCCCAGCACGCCCCTCCACCTGGCTGGAGGTGGGGAAGCAGGTCATACCTGTCACTGTCTGCAGGTGGCATCATTGGGGCATCCGCCTTGGCCACCACCCGACCCTTCCGCTCCTTGAGTCGCTTCCACAGCAGCCCCTGGGGGAGGAACCGGAGCTCATGCGACCCTTGCTGACAGCCACAAGAAGGACATGGGGAGAAGGCCTTGCACCCAGGAGAGAGGCTGGAGGGAGGAGGCTGGAAGGGGTTAATGCCCAGCTCTGGGGGACCTCAGATCCTGAGTGTCCCAGCTCTGGGTACTGGTCTGCAGGGGTCTCCGTTGCCCCAGGCATGGGTGTGTCTTAGGAAGCAGGGCTCTGTCCCTAGGACATTTGCTGATGCCCCCTCTGGGGTCTCTGCAGCTTGGGAGCCCCCAGCCCATGGTGCTACACATCCCCAAGCCATGCAATGCTTGACTCTGCAGAGCCCCTGCACCTCCCCGCTCCTCTGGGCCTGCTCTTACCTTGACGTTCCCAAACTGGGAGTTGGTGGATGTGTCGCTCTCAGTGCCTCTGCCCGGGGCCCGAGGGCCAGGTGAGCCTCTCCCCTCTGAGGAGAGATCTGTGGGAGCCAGACACTGCTTAGCTCAGCAGTAGAGCTGGACACCTTGCATGCTGGGCTGGGCTGGGCAGGGCAGGGCAGGGGATGGTACAGCACTGTGCCCTCCCAGCTCTGCCTATGCCTCTCAATCCTGACGAGAAGGTCCCTGTGCTGCTGGGGTCCCTCACTCCCAACCTGCAGCCCCTTGGGACCCCCACTGATGCCCCTCAACCCAGGCACAGTAATATAAGAGGGCTGCTCCTGCCATTACTGCCCGCCTCAGCTTCACCTTCCAGCCAGGGGCTCGTGTCTTGCCTCTGTCTTCAGGAGTCAAGAGCCTGCAGAGCAAGGTCACGAAGTGGCGGGGCAGGCCAGCCTGCCAGGGAGCTCATGCTCCCCCCAGAGCCTTGCTAGACACCCGGCCCCAGGTTTTGTGGCCAAGCAGTCCCTGGACTGTGCCCACTCTGCAAAGCTGATGCTGTCCTGGGGATGGGGTTGGACCCTGCCATGCAGGGATGCCTGGCTTGGTGGGGACTGGAAGGGTCCTGGGGGTAGGAGGGGGCTGGGTGCATGCACAGGCTCCCTGAGATGTCCCACCAGGGCTGGGGCTTCCCATCTGGGGCAAGGAGCTCCTCTCCCACAAATGGGGCTGCCCCCATGTCTCAGTGTCCCCAGCCCAGCTTCTCTCTGAAGCTGTCTCCCCACTCTGTCACTGGGGAGGAAGTCAGGGTTCAGGGCTGGCCACAGCCACAGGAAATGGCTTAGCGCAGAGCACCCTCCTGGGGTGCCCCACCCAAGGCGGAAGGGGGGGGCAGTCTAGCCAGGGAGCAGGGTGGAGACCAGACCCTTGGGGAGCAGCCCTGCAGGTAGGTCAGCGAGGGGGAGCAGGGGCCCTGGAGGAGCAGGGTAGGATGGGGGAGGAGGAAGAATTCTGTGGGGAGGGGCAGGGCAGGAGTAGAGTGGGGTGGGCAGGGAGTCCGGGGAAGAACCAGAGAGGGATCAGCATGGGGGTCACCTGTAGTGGGGTGAACAGCACGGTCAGAGACCAGATCCCTCCACAGAAGGAAAACCAAGGCACATGGGGGTCCCAGTGACTGTCCCAGATATGAACCCAGGACTCTGGCTCCCATTTGGATGCCCAGACCCCAGTCTATCCCTCCTCCTCATGAACACCCTGGGCTGCTCCCTGCCCCAAATGTGGCCAACTCTGGGATGGAGCCCATCAGCTGCTAAATAGCATCCTCCACACCTGCCACCCTGCTCTCCCTCTCAACACTGGACTGCTCCGTGATAAGAGCAAGGCAGAGGCAAAGTCTGGGCTGGGGAGGTCTGGGGTGGGTGCAGCTGGTGGTACCCGTGGCGCAGTGGGGCCCAACTTACCTCTCTGGGTGCCACAGAGGACCCAGCGCCATGGTCCCTTCATGCTGGCAAGCCCTGCTGGGGTGTCTGCCCTGCCCGCACCCCGGCGGCTGGGAGGAAGCAGCTTAGCCTTATCTCTTGGGGATCAGCACACACAGCACAGAGGAAGCAGCAAGGACCTGCGCCATCCCCGCTCTGTGCTTCCTCCAGGGACTGCCAGAAAGCATGCACAAAGCAGGGGGCATGTGCAAAGGCTTACACAGGTATGTATGCATGTACATATGTGTTAGGCTGTGTGCAAGATGTATGTGTGTGGACACAGAGGGCATGCACAAAAGCATGCACAAGTGTGGAAGTGTGAACACAGTAGGGAATGTATATACATGAGAGAATGTGCCCAAAGATGTAGAAGAATGTATGTGTGTCCACATGTGTCTGCAAGTATGTGTGGGGGAAAGTGTGGATGCACACACATGAGAGTGTGTCCAAGCCTGTGGGAATGCGTGCAGGCATCTGATGGTTGTGTGTGTGCAGGGGTGTGCACATAAAGGAAGGACTATGTGCTGATGCATATATGAGAATGCACATGTGCAAGCCCAAGTGTGTGAATGCATACATGTGGGACTATGCATCTATGTCTGCATGGACATGTCTGCATGTGTGGGAAGCACATGGTCTCTGTGTGCGTGGCTGTGCCAGCCTGCCAGTGTGCATGGGTTTACCAGGATGCCCATGTGCAATCGCAAGCGCCAAGTATGATGCCTGTCAGGCTGCGGCCATTCACTCACCAGGTTCCCGCCGGCCTCCCAGGGGGTGCTGCACATGTGTATCAGAGATGGAGCTGCCCGTTCTGCTCCGGCTCCTGAACAAGACCTGGGGGCAGAGGGGGTTAGGTACCATGTGTCCCCATTGGCCTTACACAGCCCACCCCTGGCCCCCACCTTCCAGCTGCCACCACCTTGTTTCAACACCCCCCCAGCTTCCTTCCCCCAGGAATGGGTGGATCTGTAAGCATGTTGGGCACCTCTACACATGATCTGGGGTGGGGGAGCACTTTAATTAGAGCCTCTCTAGGAGACTCCCAGGAGCCTCTCTAATTAAACTGCCTCCAGCGTCTCATGTAGTCAGCGTCCCGCTCTTCAAAATGTCAAGCTTTTGTTAAAGTGCCTCGCTGCCATTTTGAAGTATGGGGATGCTGAATATACGTGACGCCAAGGCTGCTGGAGCATGCTAATTAGCACGGTCCAGCAGACTCAATTAATTGATTGAGTCTACTCTGAAGTATGCTAATTACCACATGGAGCAGGTATCCAGCATGTGTGTAGGTGCCTGTTCAGCTTGCAGAAAAGGAACATGATAGCAATCTTCAAATGCTTGAAGGGCTGCCAGAAAGGAGAGAGAGAGCACCTTTTCTCTCTTGCTGCAGAGAGGAGGATGTGGACCAATGACTTGAAGTTACAGCAAAGTTTAGACTGGATATCCGGAAAACCTTCTTAACTGTGAGAATAGTGAGGCAGTCGAGTAGATGTTTAGGGAAGTTTTGGACTCCCCATCACTGGAGGTGTTCAAGAAGAGGCTAGACTGCCACTGGTCTGGGATGATTTAGACGTAGCTATGCCTACATTCTGCTATGGAGATTTCCCAGGCTTCTGGGCTTTGCTGGTTGTCCTGATGCCCCCTTTCTGCTATATGAGTCAGGGTATTTTTAAACCTCCCTCAGAGGCATTGGGTGTTGGCTGCAGCCAAAGCTGGGGATTGTGGCTGGGCTGTGCCAATGCTCATGCTAAAACCAAAGCCAGAGGTTCCTGACTAGAGGATCTTGCCCCTCTGCTCAGGGTCAGACTGACACCACATTTATGGTCAGAAAGAAATTTTATCCCATGGTCAGATTGGTATGGACTGTGGGGGTTTTTGCCTTCCTCTGTAGCAGGGGCATGGCCCTCTGCCCAGGACCCCTTGAGCATATATTGACAACATTTCATAGAAGCAGAACATTGGATGTTGTGCTTCTCCTGCTTTACTTGTGGCAGGTTAGGTTGTTAGGTCTGTGTTGTGTCAGGATATCAGTAGACTTGTTTAGATGATGGTTTGGATAGAGATGGTCCAGCCTCAATCAGTGGGTTGGACTAGATGACCTCTGGAGGACCCTTCCAGCCTCACTTCTTTATGATACTATGACCTGGACTCCACAACAGGCAGAGGCCAGGGCCCCCCACCCCACCAACCTGTGGTTATTTGGGAGTACTGATTTCTGGGGGTGGGGCATGGTGGGGAGCAGCCCCGTGCCCTGGCCTCACCTCCTCATCCCTGGCCGCCAGCACAAGCTGCCCATCCATCAGCGAGAAGTTAGAGACGTCCCACACAGGCACCTCAGGGGATGGTGTCAGCGGGATCCGCTGCACAGGGCGGGGGGCTTCTGGGGGCAGAGTCAGCAGGTCAGCAGTCAGATCCCTGCCCCTGGGATCAGACCCCAGCCCAGGAGGGGTCTACCCGCAACTGCTCCTTTGTCCTCCCCCCTCCCCCTACCCATTTAGATTCTCATTCTGTGCCCCTCACTGTGGGATCTGTCCCACCTCCCCCACCCTGCATTCATAGCCATGACTGAGGCAGTGCCAGGGCTTGCTTCCCTGCTCTGCGCACAAGGCAGCTGCTCCAAATGGTGTGGTTGTGGCAGCCATGGGGACAGGACCAGAAACCCCATGCCACCCCGCCCCACTGCGATCTGTCTGGGTGAGTCCATGTGCCCCCTGTGCTGTACAGGCAACACTTCTCTGCTGCATTGGTGCCACAGGGCACGGGAGGCTGTGGCCAAGTAGCAAGGCAGAGCATTGGCTGGTAGAGCAATGCCAGAGCTCCTCAGCGGGACAGGGCCTCTGCACCGGTTGCTGTCAGAGGGAAGCAGAGGTGGAGGTGGCTCCCGCCTGCACTTGTGCGTGACAGGCGTGGCAGTTTGGAAGCAGAGCCGGTTACACTGGAATCACGGGTGAGGAGAGGCTGGGCCAGGAGGCTACGCCTGCTGCCCTGCACAGAGCCCCAGCAGCTCAGAGCCACAAGCCAGGCTCTCCTGGCACCAGGCACATGCAGTGGATCCACAGCACCAGCCCCACTGCACCCTGTAGCTGCCTGCAAGGGGATTTAGCTCTTGGGGGATTGAGGGGGGTCCTGACCCCTGGCTGGCAAGCTGGATGAGCAAGGTCCAAACCCGGAGGGGTCCTTGCAGCCCCAGGAGCCTCCCCCACTTGATTCCTGCCAAGGCTTTGAGCTCTGCATGGGAAGAATAAACCCCTCTGCTTGTGGCTGGTGGGAATGAACAATGGAAGCCAGTGGGAAGAGCTGGGCTGGGGGTGGTGCAGTACAGTGGGAAGAGAACCCAGGTGTCCTGAGCCAGGCCAGGCCTGCATCATGATGGAGACCATCATGCTCAGCCTGTGATCGCTGGGCTGCACAAGTACTGAGCAAGGGGTGTCCTTGAGGCCAGATCCATGTGGGGCCTGGACCCATGCCATACCTGGCTCATTAGCTCATGCCACAGAGATGGGTTCAGAAACCAGGCAGGGCCCCATGTCAGTCCTGGCACCAGCCAAAGCGAAAGTAAGGAAAGCCTTGGGATGGTCCGTATGTGCTGGTTGTGCCATAACCAACAGCCCAGCACTAGGGACAGTATCTTTGGGCCAAGGATGGGGGCATTATGGGGGCAGCATCTGCAAGTGGGTGCAGGGGTGCACTCCTAATGCAGGGACCCAGCTGTCAGGTGCAGACCCGCAGGGCAAACCAGGCCAGCCCTGCATCCAGGGCATGGAGCTCTGGAGCTAGAGCTTGCTGGTGGGGAGAGTGGGAGTCTGTTCAGCAGGGCTGCTGCTGGGCAATGCGTTGATGGAGTGAAGTACTCTCTGCAGTCAGGTATGGACCTACAGTCACCACCATCCTTCACCCCCACCAGGACCTGAGTGTCGGCAAACTGTTGGGGCTGAATGAGCTGAAGCACGGCCATGCCTGCCCCCACCTGCTTTGCCAAGTGATGTCTGAGAGACCACCAGTGAGCAGGATCCATACCAGGCCCCCTACACTGTGAGCAACCTAGTCCTAGCCCCAGGAGAATCTGGTCTGCCAGAAGGCTGGGCCCAGGGCTCTCACAGAGCCCAGCAGCTCCTGCCTCTGCAGGCCTGGCGTCCTTTGTGTTAGCCAAGTCCCACTGCAGTCCCCCTTACCTACCCTCCTCAGCCCCCTGCCCTGCTCAGCCCCATGCAGGAGCGCTCTTGCTGTGCATGCTGCAGAGGCCACCTCCAGGGGTACAGCACCCAGGGGACATGCAACACCCTGCAGGCACTCCTCGTGGAGGGATGTTGGTGCCTGAGGGGTGGGGGGGAGAGGCAGCACCCTGAGCAGAAAGGATGGTGCGGCTTTGCCTTTTTCAGGCCCCCATCAGAGCCCCAGTCCCAGGATGAATCAGGCAGTTTCCTGTTGTGAAATGACTCAGAAGGCACGGAAGGCTCTTTGTTGCCCCAGTCGCACACCTTGTCTCTGCTGGGAGCATCTGCAGCCTCGCAGAGCGAGCGCCCAGCTGGGCTGGCAGAGGAGGCCCAGGGGCCACCAAGCTCTCAGCTCTGCCCACTGCAGGGGGCTGGCGGTGAGCTCCGACATGCCACAATGCCGCTTGTGTGACATCGCAGGAAAGAGATGTGCTTGTTTCAGCCTTTTTGCATTGTGCAATAACATTTCTGTAGGGGCCGGGCCTCATCACTCTCACGGAAACAGCGACCAGGCCTAACTGCCCTTATAAACAACACAGAGACCAGGCCTAGCTGGCATAGCAGTGAGACCTAACCTGCCTCACAAACACCATATTTACCAGGCCTAACCGCCCTCCATAGCAAATAGGCAAATAGGCCTAACTGCCCTCACAGACTCTCCATCAACCACT